ATAATAAAACAACTAAGGAAAAAATATTATCGCTGCCTGATTACATGTCACGAAAAAACGATAATCCATCCTTGTGGTTTTAAGTGTCTCCTGCGAGCTTCACTTCATTTAAGCACTCTTTCAAAGAACTTTGACTGTAATTCCAATACTTTCAATAGAATGTTGGCCAACTTCAGAATTGAATCGGTTAAAATAATCTTGACCTGCCAAATTGAGTGAAAATAAATGTGAAACATAGAGTTTTTTTTTATATGGAGTTGTTGTTGTAAAGTCTGAAAAAACCCTATGTTTCACATTTATTTTCACTCAATTTGGCAGGTCAAGATTATTCTTAGCGATTCAATTCTGTATTAATACATAGTTTTGTGTGTGTGGAATGTCGGAACACCTTCAAATATTTGGACAATTATTAAATAATTCTTGGAATCTCGCAATTGTTCTTGGAAACTCCCCAAATAAAAGTGTTGAAAACTTTGTGTGTTTTTCGTGCTTTCTTAATTTTTATGGTTTTACCACAAAACGAAAAGTTTAAAACGTACGGTTTGCTGTCATTTTATTGTCGCACGGATAACACCGTGGATAGCTTATCCCTACCCGAATGACAATTCCTGCATTTTATTCTAATTGATGAAACATATTCTCATTTCATCTCAAAAATAAAGTATACGGCTCATATCTGTAGTTCGGTTGAGTCGAAGGCAAACAACATGGCATAAGCACACGCCCACGGAATGAACATACACATTTGCTAGTATTAAACGAGCCTTGGATGAAAAGTGGAAGAGACGGCATTAGCTGTATTTATGACCTTAAATGGAAGCACTTCCAAAATATGCACCGCATAAACATTTTACATTCATACAGAATAGGCGGGGAAAAAACAATCCATGAATAGAAAACGAAAATAAATAATAGACGCGAGAGTGCGAGCAAAAGCGACAGAGAGAGCGTGAGAGAGCGCGGGCGAAAAAAAGGAATATAAAAAAAATACATCGTTGAAACGGGCAAGAGAAAAGTAAATAACGCATAGAATGTGTTAACGGAAAGAATGGCAGAAAGCAAATATGAACAGCATGAACAATAAATATTCATTTTATGAGTGCATTTATAATCGTAACGAATACGTGAGTAAATATGCTTACATGCTTCGAACGAATATAAAAAAAGCGTACATTTTTCTATTCTTTTTTCACCAGTCACAATTGCCCGCTATTTTTTTTCTTCACCGCGTAATAATTTCACATTAATGTATGAACGGATGTAGACAACAAAGCAAGAACAGAAACGAGAAAAAAACAGTGTTCCACTGAAAATGGAAATATAATTTAAATGGCATATTTCGGCTATAACAGATTCGTCTACAATTTATATGGACAATTAATATACTGGCGAATGCGTAATTTTTTTTTATTGGCAATGCAAGACGTGCACCGAATATGGTCGTGAATATTGGTCTTGTTTTCGCGTTTTCCATTGCAAGAGATGGCAAAATTTTAGAAATTGCAAATGAATTTAGGGATTTTTGTTGCATGCCAATGTGAAAACCTTTTTCATTTTCATTCGAAGCAAAAGTGATGAAAAACCGCAGTTATTGCAGCATTTTATTGTATTGAAAAAAAAAGAATTTCCATGCGTTTTCATACGTAAAAATGGATTTCTGTAAAAAATATTTACCAAAAGTTCGAAAAAAACAATTGTTTGCCTAACAATAATAATAATGATTGCGTGTTGCGAGGAGTGATTTATAAGATTTGTCGCTGAAGACAAAGACTCCGTTTTGGAAAATCGCTCAGGGCCACACCACCACCACCATCCAAAAGGCGTACGAAATATATTTCTTTTCTTATTTTTGATTTGCTGCGAAACGTGCAATAAGAAAATTGAATTTATTGAGAAGTACGAACGAAGCACGATTTATTTACCGTGTCGGATGCAAAGAATGTTTGATGTTGTATGGGTCATGTCACGTTCAAGGTAAAGCATAATTTATGGATTATTCTATTTCGAGGAGGTAAATGTCTGACCGCCGCATATAATTTCGCCGCTTCATTCAGTTAACGTTGCATTGTTGACTTTTTTCCCTACTTTGCTCTCTACGTCTTCTTCGTCGTCTCCATCTCCGTCATCGAAAAATGGTAAAGAGGTGTATTTTGTGTGTGTGTGTGTGTGTGCTTGACGCTGTTGTCGCAATTTTGCAAGCGAGCAATAGAGCGAATGTGTCTGGCCGATGAATTGTGTGTATAAGCTGCTTTGTCTGTGCTTTCGAGTGCTCATATGCATAATGGGTGTTTGGCATCATTGTTATTCAGATTCTCGCTCTTCCTCTCTCTTTGCAAACGCTCGCACTCGGTATAGTTTTGGTACTGAGCAAGTGAACTAATGTGTGTGTGTGTATATATATATTTGGCTTTCAAACCAGATCTACCGAGCTAAAAGCATGATATTCATAGCTGTGCAGTTGTTTATGGCATGCGATCTAATAAATATATAAATAAACAAAAATAGCATGAGCAAGAGCCAACGATGGCCGCTTGGATGGATTCACATCAACCTCTGTAGCTTCTCCTCCTCCTTCTCCACAAACCTCTATGCTGAAACGGCAACGTAATGAAATGTGAAACGCGTATATGTAGCCCATGTTGCAAAAGGTGGCGTTGGAAAAAGCGAAACAACGGAAAAATTCATACATGGATAAAACATTATTTATTCTCTTGGAGCAACTGGATTTGCTGTGTTTTTCATTTTTCCTTTGCGATGCTCACGTGTGTGTGTGTGTGTGTGTGTGTGTATGTGTGTGTGTGTGTGCCGAGAGTTCGTTTTCGCAATCATCATCATGTTTGGCTAACGATAACGCTTTCTGATGATGGTGACAGGATATTTATGTCTATGTATGCAATGCACTGGTGTTTACGTATTAAAACAAGCGCACCCAATTTCATTTTTTCTTTCTTGCCACGTCTCGTTGTTTCTCTTCATCGTAATTCTTTTCTCTCTCTACTTTTGCTTCGTTTTTCTAATTTTTTTTTCTCCTGTATTGCTTTTATTCTTTGTGGCCCCTCGATTGAGAAAAATCAACCTCGACAACGCAAATATATACGGTAAAATTACTACACACGTAGATCAGCGATGTAGAACGAGAGTTGATACATGATATCAGGCTCCAGTGGCCATATATGTGAGTGTGTCAGTGCCGATATGAGTTTAACAACTAGTGTACATTCAGCTAAATAAATTACGTATATAAGGTGTGTGTGTGTGTGTGTGTGTGTGTATACTATGCAAAAATGGTAAAAAAATTCATCAACAGTAAATATCATAGCGTGGCTTGAAAACCCATGGAGATACAGATGATGGCAAAAAAACCCGACGGTCAAGCGGAAAAAAGCGCGAAATGCGAATACAGCAGGAGAAAGAAAAACACACACAGGAGATAGCAACGGGTACGATGACTAAATAAATAAAGAATGTAAAAGTAGAAATACGACACGCATTGATCACATGTTGGACAAAACTAAACCACTGTGTGCAGTGAAACGTGGATATGCGAGAGATGCAACGTTATGCTGCTGGCCATCGGACAGTTTTGTATTTGTTGTTGCATGTAAATATTGGCTTTGCATTTCTCGGTGCACATTTTTTTTCTGCCCTTCTTCTAAATTTGTTTGTGCAACGGCATTTTCCCCATTTATTTGCGTATTTGCGAAATGAATGCCAACCAAATAATCGGTTAAAAATTCCGTTTGAAAGGCAACGTCTCTTGTAATCAACACAAACATTGGTTGAAATGTAGAAAACACTGATACCATTAACATGGTAGAATACAACCGAAAACTAGTGTAAACATGGTTTTCATCATTTGGTAAAGCGTCAATAAGCCGGGTGTCCGCCATAACGAATGAGCAACTGTGGCCGATCACACGCATACACATTCAACTCAATGAATTTGAGATTACTTTTTTTTACCTGATGTTAAAAGCGTTAGTGCTTGTTCTTTTTCTTCAGACATTTCAAGCACAAACTCTCTCTCTCTCTCTCTCTCTCTCTCTCTCTCTCCATTCAATCTTTTTCTATTCGATGTATGAAGTCATGAAGATCGATTATTTAATGTACGCGTGTTCTATATCGTGTCGGCAACATTTTGCATAAAAAATTCATTTCACTCATACATCTTCGTTATAAGATGATATTTGGTTTCACGGTTGCGCCCATCACATGCCTTATTCCGATTAAATTCATCCAGTCACATCACATAGCGCATTCAAATTTAAATTTGAAAAGAGGTCAACAGAACCTACAGCGAAAGAGCAAAGAAAAAATATATTCGGTTATGACTTGTTATTGAATATTTTATTACTTGTATTGGATACTCGAAATGAAAAACGTGGTTCAGAGCGAAAAAAATCAGTTTTATGCTTGGGGTTTATGTGTGTATCCTTTCGGAACGGATAATAACGTCAACAAAAAGAAACGAACACCGAGAAAAAAATAGGCCAAGAGTTAACTGATTTGGTGGATGAAAAAGAAGCATTGAATATGAAATACCGTTTTATACACAATACACATCGCATTTGGAATGGGTGCGACCGTTATTTTCACGCTGACAATTTGTAACGAGGATTTTCGACCCAAGCATGCATATTGCGCATGAACATAAACCCATAATTCCAATGAGTTGGGGAATCATTTTGACTCCTTCATCGAAAAAGTCTCCACAATTTCTACGCGCCAATACTACGTTTTCCATTTTCCATTTGGAACCAAGTGATGCAAATGGTTGAACTTTTGTCCCATTCACACGAAAGGTACAATAACATTTGACATTTTGGCGGCGGTGCTAACTGGAAAACTGTTCTCAAATTTTATTCCAATATTCTCCTGAAAAAAAATTCCGATGCGGAGTAACACGATTCGATGTGTTTACGTTCCGAAATTGTGTCTAACGAAAAGCGGTGTGTGTGTGTGTGTGTGCGAGGGAAAAAGGAACGACTACATCTTATTTCGAGTCAGTGGTGAAGCAAACGTCTGTGCAATTATAACGTGTGCTCCGTTCCGTGTGAAGTGATTTTTGAAATTTCGATTGAATGCGCGCGTGAATATTCAACGATTTTAATGGAAAAGTGTGCATTTATCATATCAAACGAAAGGAAATATTTGATTCCACAAGAAAAAAATCGTGATTCTGTGCAAATGTTCAATTGGTAATGTTAATTTTTTTTCACCTGCCAGCAATTCAACGTGAATATAACTGATTTTTGGATGAATTTGGATTATTTTGGAACAAGAGATATGCTACATTTTTTTGTGAAACAGTGAAACTAAGATCCGATTTGTGGTGTAAGGTGCTAACATTGAAAGTGCGAAGAAAGAAAATTAAAATAGTTGCAGTCAATCTGACATTGGAACTAATAAGTTTGAACAAACAGAGTGGGAATTTCTATCAAAAGAGTGAAACATATTTATGTATGTAGTAAACAATGGCACAAGTGAAAATTTGAAGCGAACATCGATCGAATTGGTAAAAGCATTTCAGTTTGAAAGCAAATGAAATGGGCGTTTAAAATGTGATGCAAACAATAAAACTACAAACAAATCGCCCACGGTATTGCCTAGAAGATTCGACTACAATGCGAGAAACAATCAAATGGTTTGTGAACATACTACTCATCTACTACTAAAATGCCATGAAATCTGGTTTTTTTGTTTGTGTTTTCGGTGTGTGTTTCATTTTATCATTTCATCTTATCGAACGTCGAATGCTCTCAGTGCTGTCATTGCTATAACTTAGACACGCCAAATGGAATTCGAAGAGCATTTCAATTCGGTGTATTGAGTTTGGTTTTGATTGCATTTTGTGTGTTGTTAGAAATTTGGTTGGTGTATATACATATATATGTGTGTGTGTGTGTTTTTCGGATCGATTTTCGATGTATGCCTCTCAAAAATATGGCATTGGATTAATTTGGATGAAACGTGCCCGTTATTTCAACCAAAACTCTTATGGTGCTGCTCGAATTCAATACGTTTCAACCATCAATGTACAAATCCCCAGCAGAGGAACCACACAATTTCTCTCGATAGGAAACAAGCAATGAAAATGAGAACTGAGATACGCATACGAAATTGGCGCTTATTTTAGAATGACGATGGCAACGGTGACGACGACGACCACCACCACCACCACCATCACCAGGACGACGATCGTTTATACATAAATTAATGTTGTTTTTTACGGTGGCAAAAATGTTCGTGAATCATATTTTTTGTGCATGCAAAGCGATGAAGGCACGAGTTATATCGCACGATTATTTGTGTGTTTGTGAATGTGGAATTTATTACACGACATATCCCCGCGACTAAATGAAGGGGGAGAGAATTTCTACAAATTATCGCACTTTAGCACTAAATAAAACCATGATATTCGTGTGAATTATTTAACGTGTGTGTGTGTGTGTGTGTGTTTGCGCATGTGACTTGAATGGTGACCGAGGAAAAACAAGTTATTTAGCTAAAAATTTATGTTCTTTTCGAAAATCCGAAGGAATGAACAATTATTCAATCAACATTCATTTCGTATAAATTCATCAAAAATCCATTTCGAACAGCGCCAGAAAAAAAGAAACACATAAGTTTTTTTTACGAGGCCTCATAAACATGAAAACAATTTTATTCAAATATACCGCAATATAAACGTTTTAATGAGATAACACGCGGAAATTCGGTTGGCTGGAGTTTTCATGTATTTCATCCATTAGTATTTGAAATGTGTTTGCATTGAATCCTAATTCGACGCGTTCGTTTCGGAAAATACGATTCACAATTGCTATTCAACCGGACTGAATTTGTTCCATAAATGAATTTCAAGAAGGTGAAATTGTTGCGATAGATACTTTTTATGAAAATTTTATCGATTTTATGTTGAAATGCCAAATGACCATTATTTCATCAATTAAAAAGTACACGATTAAACCGAACAATTTTGTAACAATATCCATTTGAAATATTAAATTCCGTTCGAGCATTCGGATAATGATTTCGTGCTCAAGTTCAAATGATCATACAGAAAATGCATAATTATTTATTCATTAATAACCTAGGTAGAAAACCTTTGGGCTTTAATTTTCATAGTTTCACAAAAACAAGCACTTCACAAATGATGGCTTTCACGCAGACATATGAATCGATTGGGATTCAGTGTAATTTGAAGTGTGATGATTTAAAAGTGTGTATGATTCATTAATCAGAATAATAAATCAGATAAATCATTTGGTGAATATGTTTTTTTTGGTATTGTTTATACTTTTGGAAATTAGATGAAATGGAAATAACAGGGCACTATAACGGAGGTTTAATTAATTGAGCTTTAGTGCTTTTTCTACTAATTTATCGAATTTAAATGTTTATTGAATATCATTGGAATGAAAATGATTTTTTAATTCATTGTCAAGCCAAGCCAAGCCAAACTCAATGTAGCCCATTTCGATTAATGAACAAATGTAATTAAAGCGATGAAATACGATAAGCTATGAGACTAATTACAAAAAATGCGCCATTCAAAATGAATGGTATTGATTAATTTTCTGCATTTTCCGCACTAGGTTTGAGCGCAGAGCCAATATCAAATGCGTTTCACCTCTGACAAGCGAAAAGGCCAATCATTTTTGGTAATTCACGCGATCGTTTGACATTCACTTCAGTGCCATCAAAAGTTTAAGAAAGAAGACAAAATGAAACGCTCGTCTGCTGTATACTTGCATACATGTATTTCAGGATGATTGATTTGTACGTTCGTTCATGTTCGTATTTCTCATTTCTGTATTTCTGATGGTTTGATTACATCCATTTGACAAACCAAATATTCCAACCCAAATTTATTGATTTCGCTTCGAGGCGAGTGGGAGGCAAAAAGTGCCCAACATGACACGCAGTGTATTCAAATTCGATTGGGGCTGTTTATATTCAACGAAATGTGACATGGCACATACGCAAAAAATATTGTGTTGACATATTCCCATTCGATCTATGTTGGGTGCACATGTTCTTCTTTCGCATCATTCACCCTAAATCAATGCCACCTGCGAAAAAAATAAAAGCGTCAGATGCCCTGAATGACGACAGTTCATTCCTGCCTTTAATCTTTGGAATTTTCCCAACACATTGAATGTTCAACTTCAGCTGCTGTTCTTTTCATCGCAAATGATTCTCACTTAAATTCGTTCATCCTTGAGGAGCAACACGGATTTCTAGTTTTTATAGAAACACTGAATGTTTTAAATAACACTACTACCATCACCACTACCACCGTCGTAGTCATCGTTGTCGTTGTCGTCCTCGTCATATGTAAGTGGCTTGTGGTGTCATGCCGCCAGCAAAATTAAACCAAAAGATCCGTATTTTGGATTATGAATGGCACCCATTCAGGTAGGCATGGTTATCACACAGCATCCAAGTAGTACGTGAATTCTGTCGAAAATCGAAGGAGACGAATGATTGGAGCTTTAGCTTGCGCTGTCACATACACACAGCACACCCAGCACACCCAACACACGCAGCACACCCAGCACACCCA